GAACACATTCCTCTACATCCCAGCGATGCACACACCGAGCCAGAAGCACCATGGAGCTCCTGGGAGCTCCGAACTTCCACTCTGGGACAAGAAATTCCACTGCAGAACGAGGAATCTTCCGGACTTACGTGGCGGTTGCACTTCACACACACAACTGGAATCACTCTACGTTTACAGGAGCTGTGTGACGGGGAGGTGAAGGACAGGATGCAGAAGTGGACAGTGGTGCAGGAGCCAAGCCCTGCTCCAGGGGATTACACCGCTTTCCGGTGGTACTCCGGAGGGGCCACCTCGTAGTCACTGGCACTGAACAATGCAGAGGAGTTCTTTGCTAAATATCTGCAGAAACAACAACAACATTACATTGCTTCTTGCCCGAATCCTGCTGTTCAGGGAACCAGGAGGTGTTTGCCCAGACGCACAGCGGGGTCTGAGAAGCACCAGTCGGTCCCACAGTAGCTGCTCCCATCAGCTCTGCCAAGCGCTTACACATCTGCCAGCTCAGCCAAAAAATCCATTCCAAAGAGCTGCCAAGCACCTCTGGCTCCAGGTGAGCTCCAGCAGCTCAGAATTAAGAGGATGAAGCTGTTGGCATTGGAGGTTCAGGCAGCTGCTGTGCCAAGAATCGATCTGGAAGTGCTGTACCCAAGGGAGCAGGGACAGAACAGGACACCAGGAAGTTCTGTCTGCACAAACAGGGACCCTCGAGGGCTGAGTGAAGGATGGCAAAACAAGGAATGGCCAAAGATAAAGGCTGTGTGCCATTAATTCCCATGGAATGGGTTCAGGATTTCTGCTCACTGGGTTCACAGTTCTATCTCACAGCCAGAGCTCTTCAGCATTTACCTCAGACTGCCCCAAAGGACCAGGGCTATCCCAGGGCAGGCTTTCCTGGCTACCAGGCTGACTCCTGTCAAGCCCTGCTACTGCAGAGTGTCCTGGATTTACTGAGGGTTTTCTTTCAGCTTCCAATAGCTCTTAATCATAGGATCACTGAATTATTTGGGTTGGAAGAAACCTTAAAGCTCACCTCGTTTCACATTGAAGTGTTTTATTATTATCAGGATGTTTTCCTCCTGAACATCCCACAGCTACAGGGTACCATAGTACACTAAAGCCCTAGTGACAGTCTGTCCCAAAAATAACATTCCTAAAGTTCATCACTTTTTAAACATTTGCTCAATTGTTGTTGAGTAACTGTTGTGTAATTTAATAGCTCGCTGGAATTATCATCTGCTTTTTTTAGCAGTTATAAATAAACGTTGAAGCATTTATTTTGCAACAAGGAGCAGATGGGACAGGGTAGGAGTGCAGACTAACAGAACCAGAGAAGTGGAGTCTGGGAGGCTTCACTGCAGCCGTGGGGAAGATCCCACACACAGGCCCCAGTTACACAACAATTCACTGCAAAGGGGCAGCCTCACAGCAGCCTGAGCTCCCTGACCTCTCCCTTTCTTGCTGGAAGACCTCACAAGTACTCACTTTAAGAAGTCATGCAAGTAGTTCAAGAGCAAAGCCAGACTCTTCTCATCCAGGGGCGTGTAGGCCAGCATGGCTCCGATCCGCACTGCCCAAAGGAAGGACATTGTCACAAACACTGCTTCAAATCACTGTGTAAGTTCACAACCTTACAGCAGCACCAGAAAGCAGCAATCTACTCCAATATATACAATTTCACCCCAAACAACCACACTTTAAAAATTCATTTCCATCCCAACCCTGCAATGGCCCTGAGCCTTTTGGGTACACGGACAGGGAATGAAGGCACAGGCTGGAGAGGGGGAAGCAAGCACTTGACTCCTTCCCAGGGCTCCTCACCCCCTGCCCAGTGGCACTCACCGAAGAGCCTCAGGAGGTGCGGGGCCCCGTAGACCTGGGACATGGGAGCGTCGGGGTGATCCGCCAGGATCTCGGCGTACTGCGGCCTCTCGAACTTGTACAGCAGCTGGGTGCCCAGCATCACGTTGAAGTACTCCTTGATCCCGGCCACCACCTCGTTGACAGCGTATTCCCTGGGGACAGAGAGCTCTGCAAGGCCTGCCCCCAGCACCAGGGACTGCTCCAGGGCAAGGCTTGGCTCAGGGAGATCACCCAGACTGGGAGGGTCCTTCACAGGCATTCACATCTTGCAAGGACATTTATCTGCAAACCTTAAAATCTACAACCACAGGGAGAGATGCAATTCCAGACCTCTCTGGAAAATGGGCTGTTCTGAACGGAGCCAGGGTTTAGGCAAACCACAAGCAGCAGTTTTCAGTCATCCTCTCCAAGAGATGGGCTTGGACCGGCCCTTCTGAAGGCACAGGCAGCACTGGGGACACTCAGCAGCTTTCTCTGTCACCCAAAGCTCATCCCAGCTCCCACCATGTTCAAAGGACAACACTGAATTAATTACACTGAGCGGGGGACAGATCCCTATAGTATTTCAGGCACCTGCTCCCTTCCTCCCAGGCCTCTCCTGCCAGATTCCTGCAGGCCTCCAACCTCACCCTGCCTGTGCAGGACCTGGCAGTGACAGAGGAGCACAACCCTCACCCCGCCCTGCCTACAAATTTAGAACAGGCATCAGGACAATTACATCAGAGCAGGTTAAAACACCCTGACAAGTCAATAATCTGCTTCCTCTTGAATGGAAGAAAATGACTTCCCCTTTCTGTTCTCCCTTTCAAACAGGAAAGTCTCCTGCAGAGTAAACACACCTTGTTTTGCTCAGGGCTGATTGCTGGGGTAATTACAAACAGTAATTGGCTTTACCCATCTGAGGATTTACAAGTTCTCCTGCACCTCCCTGGCCCCTGGCTCTGAGGGACCCAGGGGCACTGAGCTCACCTCACACAGCTTCTCTGGGAAGTTCTATCAGCTTCCTGCAGGAAAAGGCTCAGGCCAAGTGGGGAAGCAGAAATCATATCCACAAAGCAGACGTGCATTTGGAATCCCTCCCTGGGGATTTCTGAACACCACTATCACCTTGGGCTTGGAACAGGGCACTGGCCATGGGGCTGGGTCAGGTTTCACAGCCTTATTCCATTTTCCATGGAATCCAAGTCCAACAACAGCCAAGAAGGTGTTTAAGGCTGGCAGTGAGCACTACTCACTTGTTATCAGTATTTCCTCGGGATTTTTTGTAGTTTGCATAATCCTCTAAAATGGAGTCCACGTTCTTCTTGGCAGGGAGATAGAAGAGCTACAAATGCAAAACAGAACAAATACAAGTTTGTCTCATTCTTGCAGACATTTATACGTGGCAGCTGAACTGAAACCCTTTCCTTTCTCACCAGGACTAGGATGAAATCAGCAGGTTAAGATGATAGAGGTTAGGAAAAGGCTACCCCAAGAGTTTAGCTTTTTGGGCATTAAAAAACCCAACAAGCTGGGCAGCCTGGGATAGTGGAAGGTGTCCCCCAGAGCTGGGCAGGATTTTCACCTGTTTCTGCCTGGTGATCAAGTCCCAGTCATCCACCAGCCATGGCTTCAGCTCCTCAGGGATCTTCACCTTCACTTCAACTCTGTTCATAAACGTCTCCTCCTGAGAACAGCCAAGCCAGACTAATTACTCTCAGGTACTAATTGGGAGCACAGCACCCTCTGTTTTCCACCCAAAATCCCTGGGAGGGAATGGAAAATACTCACACTTTCAACTGTTGGATCCACCCGAGCCCTCTTCTTCCTGGGAGGCTGGGGAGTCTCACTGGTGCTGCTCCCCTCCCCAATGCCTGGAGCTGTGCACAGCACACACAGCAGCAGGAAAGAACAGCAGGGAGCATTTAGGGGAAGGATTTCAAAGTAAGGCTCAGATTTTCTCAGGTCACCTTTGCACCTGTTGGGTTTTTTTGTTGTTGTTGTTGTTTTAAATATTACTTCTGTTCTGGGAGTCCCCCTGTTTGAGCCAGTTTAAAGTGCTGCACTGGCACTTTTCTGAGGGAGGTTTCTCCACTAGAGCCACACCAGTCTGTCATATTTTTGGGGGAGAATTTCTGCAGAGCTCAGCTCTGCAGCTCTGTCACGTCTCCATCTCGGTAAGAAAATTTCCTAAGTCAAATTTTGGTTATTTCAACAGATCAGCTTCACTTTTCAATTGCGAGAGCTCAAAATCCTGACAGACTGGAACAAGTAGATTTTGTACCAGGCAGAAAAGTGTGAACCTTCCCCTTCCTGAACAGGGAGAGCCCCAGGAGTTCAGGAGGGACGGCACAAGGTGTCAGTGAATTATTGGGGCAGGTTGAAGGTCTTATTTCAGCTACACAACCTTCACTAGAGAGACCCATTCAGATGCAAAATAAAACACACTTACTTTTCTGCTTGTTCTTTTTTGTTTTCCTGCAAGAAGAACACAAATTAGTGCACATGTCAAGAGAGTGATACTAAAGGAAGCTACAGCACAAAGCCAGAAAATGGTTCAAGCACAGGGAGCAGATCCTCAGAGGCCTGGGCAGTGTTTAGCTAAGGACACACAGAGGAAATACAAACTACAACTTTGCTTCAGAGCTATGGCACCACAAGATTCTTCATGGAACAGGTCAGAATTCACCATTTTTGGGAAGTTTTGTCATTCCCAAGTGCTCTTGGAGAGCTACATGAGGTTTGTGGCTGTTTTATTTCAGACAGAATATGGCACAAGGAAACAGAAGCGCTGGGAATTCCCAGAAAAATCTCAACTCAACTGAATTAACTTCCAGTAGAAGACTGAAAAAAAACCTCCAGCTTTACCAGTGCAGCAGCAGAGGGAAGATGCAGCACTTTTACTATTTACTACCCATTTTCAGGAAGTTTCAGCTGGAGAACCATGACTCCTTCTCAGTTTGCTCCCTGCCAACAGCAGCTTGGATCCACTGCTCAAAAACTGGGCACTGGGTGGATAAAACTCTACCAGGCCAACACTGACACCTCAGAAATTCAGCACCCCCTCAAGTGACTCTTGTTCTCAGGCTCTGGACTGGGATTATCAGGGCCAGGAAACAGGCAGAGTTCTGAGGAAGGGCTGCAGATAGGAGAGGAAAGGGTTTGTTTAAAGGCAGAGCAGCTGAAGTGAGGCTGAAACTGTGGGCAGGATAAAGCTCATCCCTCAGAGGGAGCAATTCCCAGGGTAAGTCACTAACAGAAGAGAAAGGCTTTTCTTCCATACCCAAAGCCAACAGGGAGGAAGAGGGAGCCCTTCCCAGGATTAATTCACAAGATAAAAATCAGGGTAACAATTAGAACAGAAGCAGAGTTTTTAAAACTGCATTTAGATTATTTACAACCAGATGTTATTCCCTAATTTGTTACTCAGTGCCATATCTTCCCTCCAGAACACTTGGTTACCTTTCCTATTTTTTAAGCACTCATTAGCTCTGACTGCTCCCTGATTTTTAGGCCCGTGAAATGTGGAATAAACTCTTGGAAGCTGGAATTCAGCAGAGCTACATTTAACAGAGTTAGAAGGTGTTGCATAGGCAGCCATAAAGCCTGCTTTAACTACACATTTTTTCTGCTACAGCTTCCAGTTATCAGAGGATGAGTAATTATTTTAAACCAAACCTGCATTTCATACATATTTCTATTTGATCACAGATTGCTTCACAGCTTTTGGAACCAGCTGCTGCAGTTTGCAGAGCAGTTACCCTGAACAGATTCAAACAAAAGCACAGCACAAGGAGCAGGTTCTGAGCTCTCCCTCCCGACTCCAGCACTGCTCCCAGGGGAACAAAACTCCTCAGTGCTGCTTTCCAGGAGCTCCAGGCTGCAGGAGGCACCTCCAGAAGGATCCAGGGCTGAAAGTTTGGAGTCAGCTGCACACTGCAGGGAGAGTCCTGCCACTGCAGCCAGCCCCACCACAAAGGTGCAGGGCAGAGGAGCTGCAAAGGGGCTTTCAACAACCCCAAACAAGGGAGCAAAGCACCCCAGAACAGCCAAGGGCCCCCAGGGCCTGCCCAGAACCCAGGGGAGAACCCGGGACTTGCCCAGAACGAAGTCAGGACCTGCCCAGAACCCAGGGGAGAACCCAGGACCTGCCCAGAACGAAGTCAGGACCTGCCCAGAACCCAGGGGAGAACCCGGGACCTGCCCAGAACGAAGTCAGGACCTGCCCAGAACCCAGGGGAGAAGTCAGGAGAGCTGAGGGTTCCCAGGGCCTTCCCAGAAACCAGGGAAAACCCAGGAGAGAAAGAGGGTGTGCCTCAGGAGGGCTGAGGGCTCCCAGGGCCTGCCCAGAACCCAGGGGAGAACTCATTAGAGAGGGAGGGTGGGCCCCAGGAGAGCTGAGGGCTCACAGGATTTGCAGAACCCAGGAGAGAGGAAAGGTGGATCCCAGGAGAGCTGAGGGCCCCCAGAACCCAGAGGAGAACCCAGGGAAGAGGAAAGGTGGGCCCCAGGACAGCTGAGGGCTCCCAGGGCCCGCCCAAAACCCAGGGAAGAACCAAGGTAGGCCCCAGGACAGCTGAGGGCTGCCAGGGCCTGCCAGAACCCAGGAGAGCTGAGGGCTCATGGCCTGCCCAGAACCCAGAGGAGAACCCAGATGGCTGAGGGCTCTCATGGCCTGCCCAGAACCCAGGAAGGCTGAGGGCACCCAGAACCCAGGAAGGCTGAAGGCTCTCATGGCCTGCCAGAACCCAGGACAGAACTCAGGGGAGCTGAGGGCTCTCATGGCCTGCCAGAACCCAGGGCAGAACCCAGGAAGGCTGAGGGCTCTCATGGCCTGCCCAGAACCCAGGACGGAACCAGGTGGCCCCGGGGTGGCACCCCCGTGTCCCCAGGCCCCACTCACCGTGTGGAGATGGCCGGGGTCTCCAGGCAGCAAACGGTGTGGGCTCCATCGCGGCGGAAGAACCTGGGGACAGGGCACAGGCAGCTGCTGGCAGCCCTCACACCGCCCAGCAGGCAGCAGCTGTCCTGCTGGGTCACCTCCATGGGCATCCCTGGGGACAGGGTGCTCACACCAACGCTTGCTTAGCCGAAGAGTAAGTTTGAGAATCAACCACCTTTCCCTCAGATGGCCCAGGAGTGCCACAAAAGTGCATTCTGAGCCCACAGAGGCACACAGCGTTACCCTGTTAGAACAGCTGTGTGCACAGTTTATCCTCTCTTCACCACCAGCACTTTGTGTCTGCAGTGAGCTCGGATGCTCAAGGCTGGATTTTGGAAGTGTATTTCGGGAAGCATTGCTCTGTAGTGCAAACAACACACACTCACAGCTGAGTCAAACTCACAGCCACCATCAGCTCCCTCCCACCACTCACACCAGAGACACTCAGCTGGGACAGCCCTTCAATCAGCCAAATCAGTGCTGGTGATCATTCAGACCTGTTCTAATTAGATTTTAATGACACTGCTTATCAGCTGCCCACACAGAGTTGGGCTGGGCTTTGTCTGAGCCCACATGAGGACACGGTGAGTGACTGCTTCCCATGGAGGCTGTTCCTGAGCTGGCAGAGGCTCTGCCTGCAGCACCTGAGCACAGGGAGCACCCAGCCAGCAGATCCAGGGGAATCAAGGGGGACCAGCAGATCCAGGGGGATCCCCTGGCTCCCCTTTCCCCACACAGGAGCCAGCTGCAGCCCTGGCCACTCCCAAAGTGAAACTGCCCCAGGATCCAGAGCAAACCCCAATTCCCTGTCCCCACCTGGGCTGCACTCCTCAAAGCCACATTCCACAGCAAACCTGCCCCTGAGCGAGCCCTGCAGCCTGAGGCTGCTGCCAAATCCACTCCTGAAGAACTGCTGGCACTGCAGCAGCCTCCTGGTGACAGCCAGAATCACAAATGAAATTAGAGATTCAAACCAGCCCATTAAGTAAGGGCCACGTTCATCACTAAGTGAAACCCTGCCCAAACAGAAGATGAGAAATGAGTCTGAAAATCTACCATAAAACATCTCCCTAAGCACCAAAAGGATGGAGTGAAGGAAATCTGACAGTCACAGCTCAAATTAAGTTTTTCTAGTAGATGCCTGAGCTTGCTGCTGGTCTCTTAGGATGCAAATCCACTTTTAATTGTGTATTTATGGGTTTAGTTCTGTCAAATCCAGCCAAAGAAAGGCTCTTTAAATGCAGTTTTGACAGCTGCACCATGGCAGAAGGCAAGGCATTGTGAGGATTTATTCCAAAGTGCTGGAAGAGCTGGGAAATTCTACAGAGAAACGGATTTTACTGAGATATACAAGACTTATGAGGAATCGCCACTTTTTGAGTGGCAGGTCACCAACAACAGACTGCAAAAAATTGCAGAGTGTGTCTGCTCAGCACCTCCATTCAACATTAACTGTGCACCACCTAAAAGACATTTTAAATGAAATACTTTAACAAGGCCTTTCTGGTGCCATTAAACTGCTTTTGCACAGGCTGTGCCACAAGAAATGGAGCTGAGCTACAGAGGCATTAAAAGTAAAACTGACAAGCCAAAGTTTGGGAGGGGGTTTGGGCAGGGTTTGGGGGTGGGCTGTCTTGTTTGGGTTTTTTATTTTTTAAACAAAAAAGAATCTTACACTTCAACATTCTTCTGCTGCAGACCAGAAGTCTTCTTGCCTGGAGCAGCTCCTCTCATCTTCCCCTCTGCATATTGTTCCCTTTAAACAGAGCATATTCAGAATTAAGATTTTGGTGGGAAAAGAAGCTTCTTTGACTTTGGTTTGAAACTCAGTACCTTCCCCTGATAACTGTGGATTGAAGCTCAGTTAAACAAACATTCCCTGACAATCCCTTCCCCCCCCATTACTCACTGGTTGGCCTTCTGGAGTTCCTTTTGTTTCTGCAGGTTGGTATCCACGTATTTGAGCACTCTGCTTTCTGGAACCCATTCATCCCAGCTGCAAAAAACCCAGAGACAAATAAATCAGCACTCAAAACCATCCCACGATTGCCTTGCACACAACAGTCAATTAAAAGCTTCACAGAACTCAGGACTAAACTCTGCTTTGTGTCAAGTCACGGACTGGCACAACTCAAGGCCAAAGCTACCAAACCTTCCCCACTGCCTGGAGCTGGAATGATTCAGCCAGGGAAGTGTAACCCCCTGGCATTTCCAGCTTCCCAAACTTGAAGGGCAATTTAGGAGGGAGAGAACAGTCTTTAACTCAAAAGAAGCATCACAGGAAAGAAAAAAATACTCTATGCTTACAAAATTATGGGATATCTGTAGCCATAGTATATTACTGAGAAAGCTTCCTTTATCTATTCCGACATTTTATAGGTTAACAAGTTCAGCAATAGGGTCTTACTGTAAGGAGAAGAGCTCTGATTTCTGTCTGTGAAGGAAACCAAGATGGCAAGAATATTTGCAGAATCTGAAGTGAACGATTTAAGAGAACAGGTGTTGGGGAAATTGCCATTACAGCAGGAATTCCACTTCAACACAGGGTGCCTCAGCTGAGCGATCTGACAACTTATTTCAAAATAAAGCACATTAAAAGTGGCCATTCTAAAGCACATCAGTTAAAGCTCTTTATGAAGAGCTCCGTGCCAGTCTTGGAGCAGCACGTGGCCAGACCAGTATTGCTGCAGGAGCAGCAGGACTGCAGAGGTGCAGAGAAGGCAGGGGCAGCACCTGCAGACTGCAGGGACACCTCCAGCTGTGCCCAGAGGCTCTGGGGTCTGGGCAGGCTCTGCTCAGCTCTCTAAGCCACTTCTCCCACTCCTGCCTGCCCAGCTGCAAGAGACCTCCCAGAAGTGCTGGTGCCACCCAGGTGGCACCTCCGTGCCCCACGGTGACAAAGCTTGCTGGTGTCCTGACTGTGATAAGGACAAAATAATTCCAAGTCAGGCCCTGACAGCTGCAGGTGAGGGCTGTGCTGCCCTGGCCCTCACAGCAACGCCACTTTTAATGTCCTTAATTGGAGCTTGAAGGCAAAAATGAAAACTCAAACAGCACGAGCAAGAAAAGCAGGACCAGGACACCACCTCTGCCCCCTCCATGGCACAAACAAGGGAAGGAAGGGCCACGCTGATGCTGCCTCATGAAGAGGAGCCACCACACAAAGGGACGGTGCCCCTGTAAGTGTTGTGTTTACACTGAGCCATCCCCGGCCCTCTGGCAGCAGGGAGGGCGGATGCAATTAAAAGTCACATCTAAAACACGAGGTTCAGCTTTTAGTCACATCACAGAGATCAAGACTGCTGTGACTAAGAGTCCTCAGCATGGAAATGAAACCAAACCAAACAGGAAACTGCCCTCTGAGAAGTCTGGGTTTGAAGAGCTGAGGTTTTTAATCACCTAGGAAAAAAAACTCCATTTCCTAAATTCAATCCAAGGGGTAGAAAACAACTCAAAAAAAAGGGAGAAAAGTACATCAATGTAACAACCTCATGGAAACTTTCACCTTTAATGGGCTCCATATTTATCCCAGAGGTGCCTGTAACCCTCAGCCATCTCCCACCTGGATCCCTGCCAGTTTTGCAGGAGGGAAAAGCATCTGTAAATTTATTTAATCCCAGAGGCTGGAGCTGAAACACAGGCTGCACCTGCTGCTGAGACAGCCCTCGGCAAGCTGTGCTCCAAAATCCCCCGAGCACCTGGGCTAAGAGGCAAGGCCAGGGGATCTGAGTGGCTCTGCCCCTTCCTCCCAAGGCATAACAAGGAAGTTTTCATAGCAGAGGTTTCTGCCAGGGAGGAACTCCAGTGTTTCCCACCCTGAACAACCAGAATGTCCCAGAGCATTCCCAGCTCTGCAGGAAGGGGCCAGTTTGGCAATGTTCTCTGTGTTACATAAATCAGGCACTGAATCAGCAGCTCAGGTATTAAATCATCCTGGTCAATCCCAGAGGATCCCAGCAGGGACACGGCAGTGCTGCTGCCCCCAGCCCACACTCAGACAAAGCATCTCCCTGGAAAGGAAAGAGAAATCCAGAGAAATCCTGCTTTTATCCCATGCACTACTTACTTTTTATTCCAACCACTGTAATGGATAAAGTATTTCACTTGCTTGTCCTTTATGGCAACCTTTACACACTGGAACAGAGAAGAAAGGTCAGTCAGTCCCAGGGAAAACAGGGAGAGCTCAGGGAATTGTGCTGCTGTAGCTTGCAGAGTTTTCCCTGCCCCTGAACTTCTTGGCTGTACAAATCAAATCCACCAACTCAACACTTCCTCCAGGAAGTTCAAGTTCTGTTCTGGAGGTGCTGAGATTCAGCTGCCACTGCCCCCCTGAGCAGTGACAGAATGAGGCTGCTGAAAAACCTGCAGGGCTCCAGATCTGAGTCTCTTTAAAAGGGTTCTTTTTTCCATTGAAGTAAAAACTGCTCCCAAAAGCATGACTGGTATTTTCCTGGCACACAGAGCCACCTCCAAGTGTTGGAGAGGGCAGAACCTTTGGCTAATACAACATTCTCTCAAGACCACACTGTGCTGTACCCACTTCAGCTACAAAACAGTGCCAGAGAGGAACCTCCTGTTTCAGGAAACACCTGCAAAGTGCCACATATGGAACTTAAAGCCAGGCTCACGTGAGCCTGCAGCCAGGACTAAGGTTCTCCTGCTGCTGCAGCAGTGCTTGTTCTGACAGCCTGCAGCTAAACCCAGCCACACACAGCCTGTGCCTGCCTCTGCTTGTTTGGGAGAACAAAGGGGCTCAGCACCAAGCAAAAGATGACTCAAATACAGTTCTGTAGCAAAATATTTTCCCTGCTGGGGGTTAGAAGGGCCTGAAGTGACTCTCAAAGCTTTAACTCTGCATGGCAGAGATGCACAAACAGCTCCTGTTTGCCACGAGCCCTCACAAAGAGCTGCTCTGACCACCTTGATGTGGGACACCAAGGATGTGGTCAGGAGCAAAACAACTGCTGGACTGAGAACCAACCACAGGAGACAAACAGATCAAAGGAGCAGGGAGAAAGCCAAGGTTGTTATTCATTACTACTGACAAAGCAGCTTTTAAAATTAAACCCTTTAAAATAAACAAGTCAAACCTTTTTAAAATTAAACTTCAAGATCATTCTGCCAGTGCAGGAACTCGGTAGGATCCACTGAGTACAAAGAGCCAGCCAAAAGCCACCTGTGAGCTGGGAAATCCCTTGCAGCACCCAGCTGGCACAGCCTGCTCCTGCAGCACTCATTCCACGCTGGCAAGAGCAGGGCAAGCACAGCTGCTGCCCAGCTCGGGGCTGTCTGGGTGGCACAAGGTTATTGCCTCAAACCCACAAGCCTCCATCACCCTCCCCTCTGCAGGCAGAACACCCCTGAGCACACATTCCCAACAAAAGGTGGGAATTGTCCCACACTCCCACAGCCTCATCCTCCTGTTCCAGAGGCAGGAAAGAGCAGAGCAGGAGCCCTAAGGTGGGAATGGTTTGGAGCACCCCAAACCCTCTCAGTGCTCTGGGAGAGATTTCTCCTGAAGAGAGAAGCTGAGTGTTTCTCCTGCCTCCCTGTGTTAACATCCACTGACACCAAACCCTAAAGGATTTAAATCCCTGAGGTTCCCCAGGAATTTCTGCACACCTTCCAAGCCCCAAGAGCCCTTTCCTTCCCTTCCAAAGGGAGTGGGGGCACTGGGACACTGAGGCAGCAGGGGCACAACTCTGCACTGCAGGCTCCTGTGGTGAAAGAGCCAGAGCTGGGAAGCAGAACTGGAACTGCCACGTCCTTTGTCACCGCAGTGCAGCTCCTCCTGGGCACTGGTGCTGTGGAAGGCCACGGGCTGTACTCAGCCCCCTCCCCCTGAGCAGCTCAGGCACCAAATCCTGCAGGCACAAAGTGTCCTGGGATATTTCCAGTGTTCTGGGATGTTCTAACAGCCTCTGGGAGCTCCCCAGAATAGCTGCATGGTGCCACTGGGCTTCCTGAAATGGTTCTGGAATAGAGCCCCAGGGTCTGAAATTGATTTCAGACAGCTTCCTGTTAATTTTAGTGCCAGTCCTTGGTCCCATCTAGAGGCACAGCAGACAGAAACATGTCCTTGTTTTCCTGGGCAGCAGCAGGAGCCACCTGCAGCCACCCACACCCACCTTGGCTTCATAAAGGAGAGGTCCATGGAAACAAAGCACTCGCTCACCTGCAAGGGAAGCAGAGAGAAACAGCTCAGGGAGCCATGCCCACAGAGAAACAGCTCAGGGGGCCATGCCCACAGCCTGTGCCCCCAGGAACAGCACAGAGAAACAGCTCAGGGGGTTATTCCCACAGCCTGTGCCCCCAGGGGCAGCTCCCAGGCAGGACTGACCCCAGAAACAAATGCTCTGTCCCAGCAGAGGGATCAGAGCAGGTTTTATCTGCTCGTGGCCAAGCCTCACTGTGTGGCTCCACTGAGGGAACTGCAGGGTGCTGAACACAGCAGATCTGAGGGCACATCTCCTCCTGGCAGCTGCAGTGCCTCCCGCTTTTGGGAAGATGAGCTGCAGAACTGTGAAATGCTTCTGTGTCTCACAAAGAAAAAGGCTCCGAAGGGCTCTCCCCGAAGTGCCCGTACTGATGCATCACACAGTCGGTACTTTTATTTATTTAAAAATGTCCCTAGAGACGGGGCTGGCAATCAGAGGTGGCATTACCACCCTCACTGTCACACCCCAGCCTCAGAGCTGGGCAGTGTTTCCCAGGAGAGATGCCCACAGTGACCGAGGAACATTCATTTTTAACAACACACGGATGATCTGCAGGAAGGGCTCTTTGTCTCCATGATAACCCGGCAGGCTCCTGCTCCCTCACACACGGGCTGATCCCTGGATCCACACACTGTTCCTTGTACCAAAGCCGATCCCATCCCGCCCTGCCATGGCAGGGACACCTTCCACTGTCCCAGGCTGCTCCAGCCCTGTCCAGCCTGGCCTGGGACATCCCAGGGATGGGGCATCCATCTTACACTGCCCTGCTATTCTTATTTATCTTACTTTATTAACCTCAACCATTACCTAAAAATCAAAATATACATCGAAAAATCCTCCTAAACAGCCCGATTCATCCTTATCCACCTAAACCCCGGTGCTCTGCGGCAGATGTGGATTCCAGCTGTGGAATCCAGCGCTGCCTCCATGAATCCTGCACCGGGCTGCCTTCCGGGGGACAAAAACCAAATAAATAAATAACAACCATTTTCCAAACGCACCAAAACAAACCCCCCGAGACACCAGAGGGATTTCAGCCGTTTTAAGGCCCAGGAATGTCCGCGCAGGAAAATGAAGGATGTAACGGGGCGGGGAGGGCCCGAGCGCTGCCGGCAGGAGAGAGGAAGGCCGGGGAGGGACAAAGCTGCGGGAATTCACCTTCCCACCTATCCCCACCTGGCCGGGGCTGAGCAGGGAGCGCTGGGGCCAAACCCCCCGAGCCGCGGGGCCAGGGCGAGCCCCCCGCCCCGGGCCCGGCCCCGCAGCCCCCCGGGCCGCCCTCCCCGCAGCCCCGGGCCCGACCGCACTCACCCTCCTGGAACTTGGGCTTGGGGTCCTGCTTGGGCGCCATTTATAAGGGCCGGTCCCTCCTCCGGCCGCTCCCGCGGGGCCCCGCCGCCGCCCGGCCCGGCCCGGCCCCGCCCGGCCCGGCCCGGCCCCGCCGCGCAGCGCAGCCGCGGCTCGGGCATGCCGGGACATGCAGTCCCGCCCGCCCCGCTCCGCCCCGCCCGGCCTGCACGCCCAGTGCGGGGCTGCCCAGTGCGGGGCTGCCCGCGCCGTGAGCAGCCGGATCGGGCCGGGGGAAAAAAAAAAAAAATTAATGAAAACTGAGAAAAAACGGGAAAAATGTAATGCGCCCAACGTGGGGCTCGAACCCACGACCCTGGGATTAAGAGTCCCATGCTCTACCGACTGAGCTAGCCGGGCGCCACGCGCACCCAGTGGCGGCAGCGCGTGTCGCCGCCCGCAGCTATGCGCGTTCCCCGCTCCGGCCGCCAGAGGGCGCGCCGCGGCTGATTGCGGAGTTAGCATTATCGCCTAATTAGCATAGTTAACATTATCGCCTAATTAAACATTGTCCCAAACGTTATCCATCAGCCCTGCAGGTGCGGAGCGACCGGAGATGCGGCCGTCCCGGGAAAGCTGTGCGATGCCGGAGCCGCGAGCAGCCCCCGAGGGGGTAATTAACAGAGAGGAGTAATCCCGCGTGTTTGCTCCCGGTGCGCTTCAACACGAGAGAAAATAAAAGGAGGCAGAGACGGGAAGCCCCGGCAGAGGAGAGGGGGGACATGGCGGCATCAGCCAAGGACCGTTTTTTATTTCTGACCGAAAATTCGCTGTATTTTAGTGATTTTTTTCTAATCGCGGTCCTCACGGCCGGGCAGACGAAGCAAAGCGGCAAGGGAGCGCCAGGGAGCGCCATGGGCCACGCTGGCAACGCGTAATATAAACCCCGCCCCTTGATGTGCATAACAACGATTCTTAATTTGCATAACCACGCCCACCAATATGCGTTGATGCCTTGAGAGGCCGCCTGAACAAAGCTGGGCAGAATTAAAGGAATAAAACAGGGATTTATTAAATCCTTTCACAGGGTACACCTTGGGCAGTACAAGAGCCTGGCCGTGGCTACACCCAAGTTGGATTCCAGGTCATGAGTTTTCACACTTTTATAAGTTTTGGTCCATTTCCATATTGGGGTTCATTGTCCAATTGCAGCTCCCATCCTGCCAGGTTGCTCTCTTCAATTCGTTGCTGTTCGCACTTTTTGGGGCTGAAGCTGCAGCGGTGTCCTTGTTTTTGGGCTGGAAAAGGATTGTTCTGTGTGACTGAGCTGTGAGGGGAGCTGCTGACTCTGTAAGAAGTTCAGAGTTACACAGTAATGCAGTACAGAATCTGGAAAATTAAACTTAAGGCATCAATATAACCCCGCCTTTCATGTCCATAACCCCGCCCCTAATATGAATAACCCCAAATCTGAATAACCACGCCTCCCTAATGTGCATATCCCCGCCCCTGCCGTGCATAGCCCCGCCCGCCCGGCGGAGCCCCCAGCCCGCCGCAGCCATGGCGGCCCCGGCCGCGCTCCTGCCCCTCCTTCCCGTCGCCGCCGCGCTGGCGCTGGCCGGGGACACCGCGGGGACAGGTCCGGGGGGACAGCACGGAGCGGGCAGCACGGCGGGGACCGCGGGAGGGACGCGCCGGGGGTCCGCGGGATGAGGGCGGGATGTCCGTGGAGCGCCGGGTGTCCGTGGGGTTGTCTGCGGGAATGAGCGCCGGGTGTCCGTGGGGTTGTCCGTGGGGATGAGCGGGTGGAGCCCCGGGTGTCCGTGGAGTTGTCCGCGGGGATGAGCGCCGGGTGTCCTCGGAATTGTCCACGGGGATGAGCGGGTGGAGCCCCGGGTGTCCGCGGGATTGTCCGCGGGGATGAGCGGGTGGAGCCCCGGGTGTCCGCGGGATTGTCCGCGGGAACGAGTGCCGTGTGTCCTCGGAATTGTCCGCGGGGATAAGCGGGTGGAGCCCCGGGTGTCCGCGGGAATGAGCGCGGGGATGAACGGGAGGAACGCCGTGTGTCCGCGGGATGCTCGCGGGGCGCTCGGCGGGGCCGAACCGGACAGCCCGGTGCCCCCGGTGCTGCCGGGCTCGCCGCCCGGCTGGGCACGGTCGGAGCCGCTGTCCCGGTGCCCTCCCGGCTGTCCCGGTGCCCTCCCGGCTGTCCCGGTGCCTTCCCGGCTGCCCGCACTCAGCCCGCCGGGGAGGCTCCGGGGCGCTCGGTGCCCGCGGGCGCTTTGCCCCTAGAGACAGCGTGTCTCAACACCGCCCCAAAGCGGGGATTCCATTTTTCGGGAGATTTTCGTTGTTTGTTCGGTGCTTTTTTTTCCTTACAGCGGGAGTTAATAGGGGCAAGCCGGGGCCGGGCTCCAGAGCTGCCTGGTTCCCCCTTGCCCAGCCGGCCCAAACCCTGACCTTAACGCTGGCCCCGAGGGCAGCAGGGGCAGGCGAAGTCCTTGCTGTCCCTGATATCCCTGCTGTCCCTGATATCCCTGGTGTGATGTCCCTGCTGTCCCTGATGTGATGTCCCTGCTGTCCCTGCTCCGTGCCGTCCCAGCGGGCACATCCAGCTGGTGTCCCGGTCCCAGCTGCCGCCAGCGGGTGTGAGAGGAAAGTGAAGAACCCTGCGGGTAACCACTGCACCCCCTCTCCCCAGAGCCGCACTCCGGCAGCGACATCGTCCATCCCATCAAGGTGGATGAGAGCGGATCCTTCCTGTCCTACGACTTGTCCCACCGGGCCCTTCAGCGGAGGTCTCCGGCCTCCAGGAGCAAGCTCCCCGCCTTCTACGAGCTGCAGTACAGAGGGCAGCCCCTGAAATTCAACCTGAGCCTCAACAGGCACCTGCTGGCCCCGGGCTTTGTCAGCGAGAGGCGTTTCGGGGGCATTGCCGGTGCCAAGATCCAGCCTCGCTCCTCCAACTCGTGCCATATGATCGGGGAGGTGCGGGGCCGGGCGCTGCAGGGCGGCCTGGCTGCCCTCAGCACCTGCGATGGCCTGGTGAGTACAGCCCCTCCACACCGAGCCCTACCCCTCAGGGGGAGCAGCAGCAGCTGGGTGGAACCCTTTGTCCTGCCAAAAGTGACCCCAAAATTCCCAGCAGCAGCAGAGTCAGCATCTCCTCACGCCGGTCCGGTGCAGCCATGGGCGAGCTGACTGTAAATTTCCCATGGATTGCAGTGGGAACTCTCCGGGGTTTACTTGTTTGTGTCCAAATTCCTAAAAAGAGCAATTCTCTGCCTGCTGCTACACGGTGGGATTGTGAGGAGCACACCTGGGAGCGAGGGGCTGGGAGCTGGTGGTGTTGTGATGGCACAGCTCGTGGGCAGCAGTGAAGCTGCTTGCTGTTTCCTCAGCTTCACTGTCAGTATTTCCTGGGGCAGCAGTGACCTGGAGAGTGGCATTTTGGGGGAAAGGGCTTAGAACCTCCTGTGGGTTTGCAGAAATGGCCCCACGTACCTGGTGGTGCAGTGCTCATGCTCGTGTCCCGCTCTTTGGAGGGAGCACAACTCCGTGGGATCCTCCATGGCTTCCCACTGCCAGAGGGCAGGAGTAAATGGGATATTCTGGAGAATCCTTCCCTGTGAGGGTGGGGAGGGGCTGGGCTGGAATTCCCAGAGCAGCTGGGACTGCCCCTGGATCCCTGGCAGTGCCCAAGGCCAGGTAGGAACCAGGACAGTGGGAGGTGGTGGCAGGGTTGGCACTGGGTGGGCTTTAAGGTCCCTCTCCACCCCAACCATTCCACTGTGATCACTCCCAGTGCCAGGTTCCTCGGGCTGAGCTGGCTGCAGGTGGCCTCACGGGGCCCTTTGTGTCTCCCTGGCAGAAAGGTGTGTTCCAGCTCATGAACGAGGACTATTTCATCGAGCCCGTGTCCAGCAGCCCCCGGGAGGAGGGAGCAGCACAGCCCCACAGGATCTACAAGCGCCAGGTGCCCAAGGCCAGGGCTGAGCAGGGCGGGAGAGCCCCGGCCCCGCGGGAGTCCTGCGGCGTGCCAGGTACTGTCCCTTGCTCTGTGTCACCAGCGGGTGCTGCCCTCAGGCCTCTGGGCTCAGCTTCTGCTCCCAGCCCTGCTGCAGGCAGGGGGGTGATGTGGAGACAGAGCTTTTGCTTTCATTTCCACAAAAACTTTGGGTTTGAGCTGCCAAGGCTGGGCTTTGGGAGTGGAACTCGGTGGCTGCCTGGGAGTTCCCAGTGTGGGCAGAGTGCATGTGGGTCCTTCCCTGTGCAGAGCAGATGGGTTGGATAAACTCCCAAACCCAGCATTTCCAGTGCTGAGGAATTCAGTGCATTCCCAGAAGCTGATGGGCTCTTTGCTCCCTGATGGAGCTGCAGTGCATTATGTGCTGCATGTTTTCTGAGCTCTCTGCTTTCACAAACTGGGGTTTGCTTCTGTAACAGGGTTATCTTCAGGCATTCTTCTGATAATCTAAATTAATTACTTAATCTGTGGTAATAATCTTAATGACTTCTTCTAGGCTTTGAAGTCTTGTTCTTGACTCGAGTCCATTCTGGACTTTGAAGTCTATTCTTGAAAATTAATTTCTCTGGGTATGGCATGGCCTGTGTGTAATTCATGTGGCTCTCCTCTGTAATCAGGGCTACAATGCTGTGCGTGCCCTGGAGGGGAATCCCAAAGGAGTCCCCAAGTCTGTAGGATTTCAGTGACTGCCTGCTCTGGCTGAGCCCTGCTGTGTTGCTGTTTGCTGTGCCCACAACAGGCAGGTGCTGCTGGTGTTGTTTAGCTCCTGTCTGTGCCCAGGGCTGCCCTGCACAGCTGGGTGGTGTTTGACAGGGATCATCCCAGGGGAGATGTTCCAGGAGCCCCCCAGCTCTGCAGCAGCCTCAGGTCCCGGCTGGGAGCTCAGCCAGGGCACAACGAGCTCCAAGGAAGCTGCTGCGATGAAACTGCCACAGTGGTATTGGCAATTCCTCAGGAGGAGCTGGGATCCCTCAGGCTGGGGGTGAAACGCCCTTTCACAGCACAGTGCTGGAAATGTAGGAGTCCATTGTTAGGGAAGCTGAGCCCCCCGAAGCCACGAAAGCGATTCCCACTGTGTGGGATGAGGTCTGTAAAGCCTTCACCCAGCTCGGGGCTGACCCTGACCTTGCTCCCTGAGCCATGTGGCAGGAAAAGTCTCTGCTGCAAAATTCCCAGTGGCTGCTGTGCGTGAGGAGCGCTGAGCTCTCCCCCGCCTCCGCACTCCCAGCCAGCATTCCCGTTGTTTCCCTTGGGAAGGAGCAGAGCCCTCTCCTCTCCTCTCCTCTCCTCTCCTCTCCTCTCCTCTCCTCTCCTCTCCTCTCCTCTCCTCTCCTCTCCTCTCCTCTCCTCTCCTCTCCTCTCCTCTCCTCTCTCTCTCCTCTCCTCTCCTCTCCTCTCCTCTCCTCTCCTCTCCTCTCCTCCCTCTCCTCTCCTCTCCTCTCCTCTCCTCTCCTCTCCTCTCCTCTCCTCTCCTCTCCTCTCCTCTCCTCTCCTCTCCTCTCCTCTCCTCTCCTCTCCTCTCCTCTCCTCTCCTCTCCTCTCCTCTCCTCTCCTCTCCTCTCTCTCTCCTCTCCTCTCCTCTCCTCTCCTCCTCCTCTCCTCTCCTCTCCTCTCCTCTCCTCTCCTCTCCTCCTCTCCTCTCCTCTCCTCTCCTCTCTCTCTCTCTCCTCTCCTCTCCTCTCCTCTCCTTCTCCTCTCCTCTCCTCTCCTCCCTCCTCTCCTCTCCCTCCTCTCCTCTCCTCTCCTCTCCTCTCCTCTCCTCTCCTCTCCTCTCCTCTCCTCTCCTCTCCTCTCCTCTCTCCTCTCCTCTCCTCTCCCTCTCCTCTCCTCTCTCTCTCCTCTCCTCTCCTCTCCTCTTCCTCTCCTCTCCTCTCCTCTCCTCTCCTCTCCTCTCCTCTCCTCTCCTCTCCTCTCCTCTCCTCTCCTCTCCTCTCCTCTCTCCTCTCCTCTCCTCTCTCTCTCCTCTCCTCTCCTCTCCTCTCCTCTCCTCTCCTCTCCTCTCCTCTCCTCTCCTCTCCTCTCCTCTCCTCTCCTCTCCTCTCCTCTCCTCTCCTCTCCTCTCCTCTCCTCTCCTCTCGTACTGCCAGGCTTTGGCTCGTCACCAGTCCAGCTTTGGGGGCACAGAGTTCGTGGTGATGGGAACGGTCCCTTCCTAAAAACACGGATTTGGGATGACCCCAAATCTTGAGCCACTGGGGTTTTCCTCAGGTTGTTTCTCAAGCATTTCTGCAGTGTTGTCTATGAATTCCTGTGTCAGTACAAACACTAAGACTCGGCTTTGGGAGGCTCCCTGTTCCTTGAGGAATATTGCAAACCTTGTTCTGGTCAAAGAAATTCCTTCAAATGCTCTGTTTATTTATTTACTTATTTATTGTGCCCTGCTCACGTGCAGCAGGCTGAGCTCAGAGTCCTTTGGAAGAGCACAGCAAAACGCACATGGAGTTACTGAGTTGTGGCTCTAAGTGGGAGCCTTCTCCACATCAAAGATGATTCCTTTGAATTAAAAAAGAAGATATTAAACTTGCAGGCATTTGATCAAGGAAAAAAACTCCTTTTTCCCCCTTAAACCCCTCAGAGTCTCAGGAAAGCCTGGAGCGGTCTGAGAGGCGCAGGGAGCGGTGGGAGCAGAAGCAGGGCAGGAGGAGGAGGATCAGGCAGCGCTCCATCAGCAGGGAGAAGTGGGTGGAGACGCTGGTGGTGGCAGACACCAAGATGGTGGAGTTCCACGGCAGTGCCAACATCGAGAAGTACGTGCTGACCGTCATGAACATGGTGAGTGCTGGGCCCTGCAGGGCTGGGCCACGGGGCCCTGGGCTGCTCCGGCTGGGGGGGCACCCAGAGCTCATCCGGGTGTCCCTTGTCACGGGCAGCGCACCCAGAGCTCATCCAGGTGTCCCTTGTCACGGGCAGGGCACCCTGAGTTCATCCTGGTGCCCCTTGTCACGGGCAGGGCACCCAGAGCTCATCCAGGTGTCCCTTGTCACGGGCAGGGCACCCAGACCTCATCCGGGTGTCCCTGACATGGCAGAGCCACCTCAGCCAGGCACCCAGACCTCATCCAGGTGTCCCTGACATGGCAGGGCCACCTCAGCCAGGCACCCTGAGCTCATTCTGGTGCCCCTGACATAGCAGAGCCACCTCAGCCAGGCACCCTGAGCTCATTCTGGTGCCCCTGACATAGCAGAGCCACCTCAGCCAGGCACCCAGAGCTCATCCAGGTGTCCCTTGTCACGAGCAGGGCACCCAGAGCTCGTCCAGGTGCCCCTTGTGACAGACAGGGAGCCCCCCAGCCCCCCACCTGCCATGGGGCCATGGGGCCAGGGGACGTGGCCTCCCCTGGAGGTGCCAGGCAGGCCAGCTGAGGGAAGGACAGCCAGGCTGTGGGGGTGTCCCTGGCAATCTGGGGGCTGTGCTGCTGCCACGACACAAGCAGATAAGGAGGTGGCTCAGTCTGTCCCTCTGCTGCTGCAGGGCTGGCAGCTCTTGGCACTCCAGAGGAAAGCTTTGGTTGATGCCAGGAAAGGGTGGGATGGGGCAGAGCACCCCAGGTAACACCCCTGGGTGTCTGGGGGTGCTGGAGGCACCCGGAGAGCGCCGAGCTCCTCGGAGCTGTTAAACACAGGCAATAGCAGTGAGAGCAGAGGGGTTCCCGGGCGTTTCTGGCCGAGTTCCAGCATCTGCACAGACCACATCGAGCGAAAATGGATTCCACGGCAGGCCTCACTCCAGCCCCGTGCCTGCTCTTGTCTCCCGTGTGGGGAATTCTGAGGTGTTGTCAACAGCTGGAGGTGGCAGCAGCGCTGTCCCTGTGTCCCCAGCGTGTCCCCAGCGTGTCCCCGTGGTGTCCCACTGCAGGTGGCGGGGCTGTTCCACCACGCCAGCATCGGGAACCCCATCAACATCGCCATAGTGCGCCTGATCCTGCTGGAGCGTGAGGAGGTGAGGCCATGCCAGGCTGGGCCAGGCTGGGCCGGGCTGGGCCGAGCGGGTGTGGGAGAAATCCAGGTGCCCAGTTCTGCCACAGAGCTGCAGAGCTGGGTTTGGGGTGGTTCATGGTAACACAGTGCCAGTGTGGTGGCACAGGGCTCTGGGTCACTGGGTGGTCGTGTCCAAGCTGCCCTGGTGGCTCTGGGGGCCCTGAGGCCACTCAGGGTCTCCACAGCCGCGTCCTTCTCTGTCAGCCGGCACACGGGGTTTTCCTGCCGTGGTTCTTAACCCCTGTTACTGCATGATTTAATGTTTTGGTTGAATCACAGATGAAAAGAAAGCAGGAAAAAGGCTGTCTTCCCACCCAGCCCACAAGCTCTAAACATGGAACGATTCCATCTGGATGGCAGTCACTCCCAATCCCGCTCTGATCCTGATGTGTCTGGGGTCAGACCTCTCCCCTTCCCATCCCAAAATCCAAACAGCTCCAGCAGATCTCCCTTTATGTTGGCAGGAGGACCTGAAGATCTCCCACCACGCAGACAACACCTTGAAGAGCTTCTGCAAGTGGCAGAAGAGCATCAACGTGAAGGGAGACTCGCACCCGCTGCACCACGACGTCGCCGTGCTGCTCACCAGGTGTGGAGCCCACCCACAGCTCTGGGCTGTGGCAGCTAAAACCTCACCTGGCTGCAGGTGGGGCAGCCAGGCAGCATCTCCTGTGAGCTGTTGAAGTCTCACTCTCCCTGCCTGGGGACCTGCATGTAAGATCTGTAATGTGAAGTCTGGGTGCCTGTAACTGCTGTGGAAGATGTCCCTGCCCATGGCAGGGGGTGGAATTAGATGATCTTTAGGATCCCTTCCAACCCAAAGCATTCCAGGAGTCTGTGAGTCCATGGACTGGTCTCAGATCTCAGGTTTAAACCTGGACACAGCTCCCAGCTGAGGTTTCCAAGCCAGGTTTTCACCGTGGCCCTGTTGCCAAGCCCCAGAGGGGCTGGATCCAGGAGCTGTACACAGGATTAACTCTCCTTTTTCCCTCAGAGGCTGGGCTTGGCAGAGGAGCCTCTGGGAAGCCCCTGACCTCCCACGGAGCTGGCAGGAATTCCTGCCTCTGGCCAAGTTTGTGTACCTTGCAGTCAAAGCCTGGTTTGAGGCTTTCAGGCTGCCGTGAGCTGGATGTTGTGGTGGTTTGGGTGATGATTCACAACCCACAGCAGCTTTATCTTCCCTGGGAGGTTGCTTTGTAGCAGAAATGAGGCACTTCAGGCCTGGTGCTTCAGTGGAGCTGTTCTTCCTGGGTGGCTGGAGCTGGAAAACCACGGCACCTCTGGGATGTGCTTCCCCAAAACATTGCTTGATTATCCCCAGCATCAGCCTTATTTACACAAGGGAATAAACGCAGCCAGCCTGGCCAGCAGCTCCATTAATCAGGCTTAATGGTGAGCTGGGGATACTGGGAGAGGAGAGGGGAAAGGGAAGGTCATAAATGTTTCCCCTGTGGAAGGATGTTGGATGTCTCTGTTCTCACTCCTGTTTGGCCGCTGTCCGTGTGCCGGGTCCTGCCGCCTTCCAACGCCCTCTCTGCTCTGTGTCTGTCTGTCTGTCTGTGTGTCCTCGTCCCCTCGGCCAAGGAAGGACATCTGTGCTGCCATGAACAGGCCCTGTGAGACCTTGGGGCTGTCCCACGTGGCCGGGATGTGCCAGCCCCACCGGAGCTGCAACATCAACGAGGACACGGGGCTGCCCCTCGCCTTCACCGTGGCCCACGAGCTGGGACACAGGTACCACCCTCTTCCTCCTCCTCCTCTGTTCTCTGCGTGCACCCTGGGGCTGGAGAAGGCACGGGGGGAAGTTGGGAGATGGTTCCCAGGCGGTTCCTCACGGGTGCAAACACTCCCTTGCTCCCTGAGGGTTTCATTCCAGAGTTAAGTTTTGGGTTGTCCCAGGTTTAATGAGAACCCATAATCCGAGGCAGCCTGGAGAAATTGCACTTGTGTATTGTCCTGGGGTGGTTTTGGAGCAGGGGCTGCCCATTGAGAAGTTTTAAAGTAGGATCTGCCTGTAATACCAGCGACAGAATTTTGCTTGCCCCAGTTTCAGTTAAACTTTGACAAGATCACTTGAACACTGCAGCTCCCAATAGACATCCACGCGTGGGAAAAAAAATAGACATTCCACAGCGTGATCTTGTGGAATATTCCTGAGTTTTCAGTGGGAAAGCTGCAGTGACAGCACGGGACAGGCTGAGGGCTGTCAGTGGCACGTCCCCAGGGCAGGTCCCTGCTCCTGTGCCGGGAGCGGGGCGGCGGTGGTGGCAGCGGTGGCTGTGGTGGTCGTGGCTCACCTCCCCTCCGTGGGCTGTGCTCTTACACAGTTTTGGGATTCAGCATGATGGAAGCAGCAATGACTGTGAGCCAGTTGGGAAAAGACCTTTCATCATGTCTCCACAGCTCCTGTATGACACGTCCCCACTCACCTGGTCCCGCTGCAGCCGCGAGTACATCACACGCTTCCTCGAGTGAGTGCTTCCTCCTCTTCCTCCTCACTGCTGGGGCTGGGGGTCAGGCCATGGGGGGCTCTTGTCTCTGAGATATCTCTCTAAGAGTTGGGGCTCTTTGCCCAGAGCAGCTGTGGCTGCCCCATCCCTGGGAGTAGTGGGAGATGTCCCTGTCCATGGCACGGGGTGGGATGAGATGGGCTTTGGGGTCCCTTCCCACCAAACCATTCCACGATTCCATGGATCCTCCCTGTGCTGTGAAGGGAGGGTCAGGAGCTATTGGGGGGGCACAGGGGCTGTGGTTGCACAGATAAAACCAAAGTGTTTTCCCTCAGTGCTCTCTGCAAGTTCTGCAGAATCTCTTCAATTCTCTCTGCCTGCCACAGGCAAACCAGACCCAGCCAAATTCTTCCCTGCCTTTGTTTATTTTTAGCACCCGTGGCTGGTTTTTCAGGCTGTTGTTAGGAAGTTTCGAGGCAGCCAGCCTGGAGTTTGGTTTGTCAGCCAGTGGCTTGCACTGGAGGAACATTTTCCCCCCTTGCTGCAGGAAGGTTTGAAGGCAGTGAGGAGTAGCAAGGGGAGAGCTGGGCCAGGGGAAGCTGCCGGGGCCAGGCTCCATTCCCAAATCCAGCCTGGGACATGTGGATTGGCCCCGTGCAGGGGAATTACTGCTGATTTATGGCTTTCAGAGGAATGGAGCTTTCCCGCATCCGCAGCGCTCTTGGCCCTCTGCTTTTAACCTTCACTTGGGGATGAAGAATTTCCTGCTTGTGATGAGCCCGGGCTGCTGCGAGCTGTGATGGGGAGACAGAGCAGCTGGAAGCTCCTCTGCTGGGCTTTGGGTCTCTTTGCTCCCCCAGAAGGAGCAGCTCTTCCTTGGGAGCGGCGCAGGGCCAGGCTGGCGTCTGTCACCGGCTGTGACACCCGGGGCCAGGGCCAGCACAGGGCCAGCACGGGGCCAGCTCAGCCAGGAGCGGGTTGTAACGGGGTGCTGGCAGCAGAACAGGAGGGAGGGAGCCAGGAAACAGAGCCCTGCTGACCTGGGGTTGCTGGGCGTGCTTGGAGCACGTTCGGAAAAGCCGCGCTCTCGGAGGATGATCGTTATTTTTTACACGAGGTAATTATTATTTCACAAACACTGCTGAATGGTGGAGCATCTGAAAGTGATTCCCGGCAGCAGCACGGCCCCAGCACTGCAGTCAGTGCCTTCAGTCAGGGTCTGCCTGGACACGAGGGCACACTGGGAGAGCTCCTGTCCCTGCTGTGGCAGCCTGGCCCCCAGGAAGGTGTCCCCTGGCTCAGGCCAGTGTAGGGTGCTGGCAACAGGGTGCCCGCTGATGCTCTGGTGCTGGAGGGACCCTTCAGTCTTTGCTCTGCATCAGACAACCAGATTTTCATCCTCTTTCCACAGTGCTGGGGCTCTTCTTCCATCCTCCTCCTCTTGCCAGGGCCTGCTGCCCGTGCCCTGCCCGTGCCACCCCTCTGCCAGCCCCACCAGCTCCGTGGCTGTGCAGCTGATCCTCCCCAAGCTCCAAGCTCTGCCTTTGTTTTTGTTGAATTCTGTCCTGGCTTCTTTGGACCTTTCTTCCAGTTCTCTGGGAGCTTTTGGAATTTTAATCCCACTCTCAAATGTATCTGGAGATCCTCTCAGGCTGCTCACAGATGGGGATTTAATCACTGTTCCATCCACTCCATCCTCCAGCTTGTTAAGGAACGGGCTGGAACAGGCAGAGCAGTGCAGGCCCCTGCATCCCCTGTGGACTGGGATTTACTGCAGATCCCTGGAAGCCAGAGGGAAACTCAGGCCAATTTTTCCCTGCTTGGAGATGTGTTTTGGCCAATTGAACAGACCAGGAGAATGACTGTAAAATATTTAACAAAAAAATAGATCCTGGAAAAGCTGGAAAGCTGAGGCAGATCCCAGTCACCCCCAGACTGGACAGAGACCCCTCTGTGAGCTGGGGTAGGGCAGCTCAGAGGAACAGGAGGCTGGGGACAGCACAGGGGAGACTTGTGCTGGCACCCAAACAGGTGAAGAGTCCAGAGCAGCATGAGTGTCACACCTGGGGCTCATCCAGGATGAAGTGCTTGAGCCTGGACTTTTCCCAGTAAGGACACCTTCTGTTTTTAGAGAAAACGCTCCAAGTGTGCAGAATGGGATGAGCTTTAAGGCTCCTTCCAGCCCAAACCCTCCCAGGGCTCTGTGGAAACATGTGGAGAGGTTCCATGCAGCGTGCATGTGGCCTGGCACAGGCTGCAGCAGGACCTGTGTCCAGCTGCCCAACCCGTGCCCCATCCATCCCAGCTCAGCCCCACATCACCCACAGGGCTCCTGCCCTTCCCACTGGGCTGGGAGCAGCAGGATGCTCCTGCTGGTGGGAGTTTGGAAGTTGAGATTTTTGCTGAAAGCAACCCAATTCCTGGTTTTTCAATTGGGAAATATCAGTATATTTCAGTGAGGATATGCATGGGAGTTTAGGGGGTGTCTCCAGCCAAGGGAGCTCTCTGCAGATGTCCCGTGTGGAGCTCAGTGGTGGGATGGGAAAGGCAGGAGGGGTGCTGGCCCTGCTGGCATCACCCTGGCACTGCCAGCGCCCCAGAGCAGCAGCTCTCCTGCTTCAGCCCCTTGGCTCAAAAAGGAATCTCACTGCACGTGAATTCCGAGCCCTTCCCGATCCCAACAAACCCGAGTAATCCGATCGGCCCCCAGAGCCTTGCCAGAGGCTCGGCCTTGCTGGAAGGAGTTTGTTGGAATAACAGCCGGGCTGAGCTGGGGACAGTCCCAGCTGCGTTTGGGAAGTGCCCAGCAAGAGCGGCTGGAGCAGAGCAGGCACTGCCCGCCTCCGCTGCCACCCCTGCCCACAGCAACCCTGTCCAGCCTGCTCTGAGCACGGCAGTGTCCAGCTGCTGATCATCTCTGTTCCCCCGAAATTCCTTTATTCCTCTCAGCAGCTCTGCGGGGACGGCTCTGGAGCTCCGCCGGGACATTGGTGGCTGTTGTCCCTTCTTTGTCCCTTCACTTCCCCATGTCCTGCCACGCCGGGGGGACGTGGGGGATCACTCTGGGGGGTTCCCACCCCAAAAAGGTCCCCAGAGGTGCCACTGGAGCAGCTGCAGGGACTGCAGACCGGGGTGTCGGTGGGAAATGCTGGTGGCCATCCCAGGGCGTGCACCAGCTGCTGCTCCCGGCACCTGCAGAGCTGTGGGACACCACGGTGACACCGCTGTGACCTCTCTTGCAGCCGGGGCTGGGGGCTGTGCCTGGATGACCCCCCGGCCCGGGAGCTGCTGGACTTTCCCCTGGTGCCCCCGGGCGTCCTGTACGACGTGAGCCACCAGTGCCGGCTGCAGTACGGCCCCCGCTCCACCTTCTGCGACGACATGGACGTGAGGACAGGGACACGGCTGCTGGGCAGTGAGGGCTCTGGGGGGGTTTGCTGGGGCTGTGCCCACCCTGCCCGAGGGAGGGATGGGTCTGTGCCCCAGGGATGGCTCTGTGACCAAGGGATGGATCTGTGACCAAAGGATAGATCTGATCTGTGCCCCAGGGATGGGTCTGTGCCCCAGGGATGGGTCTGTGCCCCAGGGAGGGATCTGTGCCCCAGGGATGGGTCTGTGCCCCAGGGAGGGATCTGTGACCAAGGGATGGGTCTGTGCCCCAGGGATGGATTTGTGACCAAAGGATAGATCTGACCTGTGCCCCAGGGATGGATCTGTGACCAAGGGATGGATCTGTGACCAAAGGATAAATCTGATCCATGCCCCAGGGATGGATCTGTATCCCAGGGATAGATCTGATCTGTGCCCCAGGGATGGATTTGTGCTCCAAGGATAGATCTGATCTGTGTCCCAGAGATGGGTCTGTGCCCCAGGGAGGGATCTGTGTCCAAAGGATAGGTCTGATCTGTGCCCCAGGGATGGATCTGTGACCAAGGGAGGGATCTGATCTGTGCCCCAGGGATGGATCTGTGCCCCAAGGATAGATCTGATCTGTGCCTCAGGGATGGATTTGTGCCCAAAGGATAGATCTGATCTGTGCCTGAGGGATGGATCTGATCTGTGCCCCAGGGAGGGCTCTGTGCCCCAGGGAGGGCTCTGTGCCCCAGGGAGGGCTCTGTGCCCCAGGGAGGGCTCTGTGCCCCAGGGAGGGCTCTGTGCCAGGCAGGAGCCATGTCCCTCTCTTCCCACAGAGTGTCTGCAGCACGCTGTGGTGCACGGTGGGGAACACGTGTCACTCCAAGCTGGACGCGGCTGTGGACGGCACGGCCTGCGGGGAGAGCAAGGTAACGGGGGACACCCTCCCTGGCCTTGGGGAGCCCTGCTCCTGCACACACAGGGCTCTGCAGGGTCCGTGCAGGGGTGGGCTCTGCCCAAACACCCGCTGCCCCCAGCAGGGACTGCCCTCAGGGAAGGGGACTCACCTGGGATCACCTGAATCACCCATAGTTAATGGCAGGAGAGCACAAGGCTGGTTCTGCTGCCATGGTGGATGCTCCTCCCTGGGATCTTTCCCACTCTGAGCCCCTCTGGGCTGACACTGGGCTGTGGATCCCCTTGCTGAGGGGTCTCTGGGGAGCTTTGGCTTTGTTGCCTCCCTCAAATCCTCAAACAACCCAAACACTTCTGAGTTTCCTGTGGCTTGAGGCGCTCCAGGCGGTGGCAGAGCCCAGCTGACCCCTCCATGCAAGCACAGCAGGGATTTCCACGGGACAAGCCGTGTGCTCAGGGCTCCCTACCCTTAACCTGTTGCTCTCCTGTCCCTGCAGTGGTGCTTCAACGGCGAGTGCGTTCCCGTGGGCTTCCGGCCCGAGCCCATCGACGGCGCCTGGAGCGCCTGGAGCTCCTGGGCCTCGTGCTCCCGCAGCTGTGGGGCAGGAGTGCAGAGTGCTGAGCGGCACTGCAGCCACCCCACGTAAGCCAGCCCTGAGCCCAGGAGGGACAGAGCGCCCGGGTGGTTTGGGCTGGGAGGGACTGGCTCCATCCCCTGCCCTGGGGTGACTCAAACAAAGGGCAGAGACTCCACAGGGATGTTAAACATACCCAGTGTCCTTGGGTGACAGAGCAGCAAACCAGGCATTCTTGGAGCCTGATTCAGAGCTGTTTTGAAAAACCCTGCTGCAGTTTATCACCCTGCTGCATTGCATCAGCCAGTGCTGGCTGGAAGTGTCCGGGCACTGCTGGAGGAGCTGCCATCTCCATCCTGGGCTTTCTGCTCATCCATCTGCTCCCCAGATGTCCTCTTGGTCACAAATCCCTGTTGCACTGGATTCAGCCAAAACCCCTGGCTTGCCCTGGTGTCAGAGCAGCCTGGGATGGGGAGGAAAAGGGCTTTGTAGTGATGTTCCAGGGGAGTTGTTTTTCCATGGCATGGGGCACTCTGGCAGCCCCAGGAGTGAGCTCCTGACCTTCCCAGACGTGTTCTGCCCATCCTCTTCCTCGGGTGAGTTTGGTACATGCTGCTGGGCTCCTGAGGGAAGTGCTCTGTCTGATCAGGACCTGGATTTATGTTTGACATAAACTCTGTGGCAGAGGTGCTGTGGTGGTTTGTGGAGTGTTCCAAACACAGCTGTGGACAGGCAGGAGAGCAAACACTGGGAATTTCCTGGGCAGTTGTTTGCTTTGGCCACTGGAGGTAAATCTTCGGCTTTGCCCTTGGGATGAAGTGAGAAAATGTGTGCTAGGCATCCCCCCCTCACACATCCATTCCTCAGGGCCAAGTGTGTAAACACAGCCCTGAAATAATCACTAGCTTCATTCCCTTCAGCAGAGTGTGCCCAGGAGAAGGAATTCTCGTGAGGTCACTGGGCCATGGGTGGTGTGACCAAAGGAGAAGGCAGCGTGGCAGGAGCTGGTGGCCGTGTTGGGAGGCTCTGCTGGCATCTGAGAAAAGCACTGTTGTGCTTTCCAAGTCTCTGCTGCTCTGAAAAGTCCAAAAATCAGCTTTGCCATTCCCTGGAGAAGTAGAGCAGCAGAGTGGGTGGGTGGGATGGAGAGCAGCTCCTCCAGAGCAGCTGCAGGAGGGACACCGGGCTGGACGGGGCTCGGGGCAGCCAGGGCTGTGGGAGGTGTCCCTGCCCATGGCAGGGGGGGAACAGGGATGGACTTTAGGGTCCCTTCCGACCCAAAGCAGTCACAGCTCTGTGCCCTCCCACCCCTGTGACTCGTGTTTCCCCCCAGGCCCAAGTACGGGGGCCGGTACTGCCTGGGCGAGCGGAAGCGGTTCCGCATCTGCAACGTGCGGCGCTGCCCCCCGGACAAGCCCTCCTTCCGCCAGGTCCAGTGCAGCCACTTCAACCCCATGCTCTACAAAGGGAAGCTCTACAAGTGGACGCCAGTGCCCCACAGCAGTGAGTGATGGGCAGAGACCCCAAACCTGGAGAGGCTCGGGCACGGCCGGAGCTGGCCGCTGGTGTCCCAGCCTGGCCTGGCAGCCTGCTCCTGCTGTGTTTTGTGTTTGGCCCTGGGCTGGCGGGGTTGGTTTGTGCTTTGGGGGTTGATCTGTGCTTTGGGGGTTGATCTGTGCTTTGGGGACAGCCCCAGGGCTGAGTGTGTGCCTGTTCCCAGTGAACCCCTGCGAGCTGCACTGCCGGCCCGAGCACGAGTACTTTGCGGAGAAGCTGCGGGACGCGGTGGTGGACGGGACGCCCTGCTACGACAGCGACGCCAGCCGTGATGTCTGCATCAACGGCATCTGCAAGGTGGGGCCAGGGGCACCCAGGGACAGCACCCACCCTTGGGTGCTCAGCATCTCCTCTCATGCTGAGCTCGCTCCTTTTGCCATTCCCCACTTGGAGAGCGTTGCTGACTCCCGTGGGGTGGGTGGGATGGGCTGTGTCAGCCTCTGTGCTGACCTCAGGGAGCCAGAGCACAGCCCAGGATGGTGCAACCTGGAGCAACCTTGGAGCACCCTGATCTCAGGGAAGGTGTCCCTGCCCATGGCAGGGGCTGGAACTGGATTGCCTTGAACGTCCCTTCCAAGCCACGCCACCCCAGGGTGCTGTGAATCCCTCGGGGACGGCGCTGGGAGGGACTGGGAGATGCTGGCGTGGGGCTGACGGGGCTCCCTTGCAGAACGTGGGCTGTGACTACGAGATCGACTCGCACGCCGTGGAGGATCGCTGCGGGGTCTGCCACGGGGACGGCTCCACCTGCCACACCGTGCACAAGACCTTCGAGGACAGCGAGGGGCTGGGTAAGGGCACCTCCTGCTGTCCCCAGAGCACCCCGTGCCTGCTCCAGCACAGCTGGGCTGCTGCTGCTCCTTTGGAAGGGGAGTTTAATTCCAGCTTGTCGATATTTTGGGGATAAGAGAGCAGGGAACTCAGGTGGGCTCAGGGCTGGGTAGGGCTTGGTGCCCACTGTTGCCTTACAGAGGTGCAAGGATTGGCACAGTGCTGGCACCCAGCTCCCACCCAAGGACAAAAATCATCTCAGACACCTCTGACGGCACCAAGACCAATGTTTGGTTCCACTCCCAGGCTATGTGGACATTGGGATTATCCCTGTGGGAGCCAGGGAGATCCGGATTGAAGAAGTGGCCGAAGCCGGGAATTTCCTGGCGCTGCGGAGCGAGGACCCGGAGAAGTATTTCCTGAATGGTGGCTGGACCATCCAGTGGAACGGGGACTACAGGGTGGCAGGGACCACCTTCACCTACAAGAGGACGGGGAACTGGGAGAACCTCACATCTCCCGGGCCGACCGTGGAGCCCGTGTGGATCCAGGTAGGATGGATCCCGCTCTCCTTGTGGGGCTGAGCTGCCGTGGTCCCTCACGGCTCTCCCTGCATCCAGGGGATGGGCTCTGCCCCTCCTCGGGGTGTGTTTCTCTGGGAGCCAACGCTGGAGCAGCCAAGCACACCCTGCCAGCCCGGGGAGTGTTCCCAGCCCACGCCACTTGCAGCTGAGCCTCATCCCCTTTGCAGCATTCCGCAGAATATTTACACAGGAGAGGGAGTGTGAGGAGAAAGGGGAAAGGCCTCAGGAAACGGCTCTATCTTATCACAAGCAGAGAAAAAGCCCTGCTGCTTCTGCTGGGCTGGACAGTCAGGAGTGAGGGAGCTGCCAGCTCATGCAAAGCTGTTGGAGTCAATATCCTTCTGACCGTGAGGCCAAGCCTTCCTCTGCAGGAACCAGTGGGAACTGTCCCACGCATGATGGCACAGCTGGCACCAGGCTGAAATCCCCCGTGGTGCAGAGGTGGTGGTGGCCATGGAGCTGCATCCCATGGAGCCCCAGGATCCCCCACCCTGGCAGTCATGGCTCAGCCCCACGCACTCCCCAGAACATCCCTGCCTTTGCCACAACCTCCTCCTGCCTGTCCTTCAGCAGGATCCCAGGCCCGCTGCTGGTAGTGGGAATGCCGGTGTGCTCAGCACCCACAGATCACTTTCTGGGATTCATAACCTAATTAAAACCTGTGGACAGCCATGTTTCGATGTTCGTGGAGAGGTTTTGGAAAGATGCCCTGGCTCCCGCCGAAGCTCCAAGAACAACAAAGCTTTGGCAATAATGGGAGTGCTTAGCTAAGAAAAACAGGGATGAACTCCCGGCCCTCGCGAGCGCGGGCGGCGCTTCCAGCAGGGCTTGTGTCAGCCACAGGAGCCCCTCTGGAGTGGGAGGATTTAGGAAATTCCACCCGTGGGCAGGGACACCTTCCACAAACCGGGTTACTCCAAATCCCATCCAGCTCTGTCGGGGAGCTGGGCACAGGGTCACGTCCTTCTGGCCCTGCTGGGCAGCTCCTTCACCCTGAGCAGCCCCCGGTGCAATGCCACCCCCACTGCCCTGCCCCTGTCCCCTGTGTCCCCCAGCTGCTGTTCACCCCCTCTGTGTCCCCTGTGTCCCCCAGCTGCTGTTCACCCCCTCTGTGTCCCTGTGTCCCCCAGCTGCTGTTCCAGGAGACCAACCCCGGGGTGAGGTACCAGTACACGATCCAGCGCCCGGCTGACAGCGAGAACGAGGTGGAGCAGCCCGAGTTCCTGTGGCGCTTCGGCTCCTGGACCACCTGCACGGCCACCTGCGGGACAGGTGAGTGCACCCCCGGGACACCCGCTCCGGGCAGTGGGGCCTTTGAAATTCCTGGCCTTGCGTTTCACGAGGCCTTAGGGGAAGAAGAAAGGGACATCTGCTGAGGTCAGGGCCGTGGTGCTCAGCAGGAACCCCAGGGCTTTATCAGCGCTGTGCTCCCGGCTCGCTGTCCTGTTACCCAGCACAGGATGGAGACAAAAGAGCTTCAGAGAAATCAGGGAGTGAGGAAGATCTCCTGCCTGGCTGGGCCTCTCCGCGGGGGGAGGATAACCCAGGGTTTTACGGAGAGCACTGGGGTTCCACAGTGTCCGTGTGTGGACATTTGTTTCCCCCTCCTGCACCACTGGCTGGGTACCCCAGGGTCCCCAGGGCAGCTTTTGGGGCAGCTGGTGCAGAGGGACATTTCTGGAACGCTGCCGGGGGAGGCTGGGAGCAGCAAGCACTTCCTCGAGAGCAGCTGGCACTGGAAAAAAGGGGAATTCAAGGACACTTGTGCTTTCTAGGTAGCACAGAGTGCCAGCACATGAGCTTTGTTTAGAACCAGCTTTTCTCTGTGTGTGACTCGAGTGCTTGGCTTCCAGAACAGAAGGGAAATAGAGGAGTGAATCAGGCAGGAGTCGGGTGAGGGTGAGCAGCTGGAGGAGGGCTGAGCCCCTCTTCCTGCCCTGAGTGGTGATGTGAGACGAGATGTGGATTTGGGAGAGCTCACAATGAGCACTGCTGAGTCCCACTGTAAGCTCCCAAGTGCTTGCCCAGAGCCCAGCTCAGCAGCTTCAGCAGGGCTCTGTCAGCCCAATGGGAAGAAATGCTGATGTCTGACTCAGTTCAGAAGGCTGAATGATTTCTTTATTATAACTATGGCTAAAATACAGTAATATACTATATAAAAAGGAAGATACTAAAACTACATACTAGTTTCTGTAACTCTAACAAAATTCGTGACCCTCTCTGAGAGCCCAGCCCCAGGTGGGTTGGATTGGCCACCAGGCTCAAACAATCCTCACCAGAATCCAAACAAGCCATCACCCCAGGTAAACAATTCTCCCAACACATTCCACATGGGAAAAACAAGGAGCAGAAATAGAAATCGTTGTCTCTTTCATTTCATCTCTGTGCACCTCTGAAAAATCCCAAGAGGGAGAGAAATGTGCTTGCCACAGCCTCCTGTCACCTGCTGGGCTGGGTTTCCAAAGCCGTGCCGGTGCCCCCAGGGTGCCTGTGGGTGCCCCGGGGGTGCCCTCAGTGCCCCCCCACCCGCAGGGGTGCAGCGGCAGGTCGTGCACTGCGTGGAGAGGCTGGCGGGCCTGGTGGAGGAGCGGTTCTGCGACGCGCTCACGCGCCCCGACGACCAGCAGCGCACCTGCAGCGAGGAGCCCTGCCCCGCCAGGTGCCAGCCGCCCCGCTTCCTCCCCTCCCTTGCCCTGGGTTGGGCCCTGGCAGCATCCCTGGGGCTGCCTGATGGCCACAGGGCATTGCCTGCCCACAGGCAGAGCCTCACGGGACTCCCATCCTGGCAGGATGCTCCTCTCTGCCTCTGTGCACATACCCCTGGCACAGCTCGGGGGCTGCCCCATCCCTGACCCTCTGTGCGAGCTCCCAGACCTTGGGCTGACACATTTGGGATCCTCCTTTCCCCATGGCCTCACCTGATGGGCAGTGGGATGGATCCTGGGGCACGGCTGCTTGCTCTGGCTGAGACCTTTCTCTCCCCTTCCCCTTTCCCTTTCCCTTTCCCCACACAGGTGGTGGGTGGGTGAGTGGCAGAAGTGCTCAGCCTCGTGTGGCCGGGCAGGGCTGATGAAGAGGACGGTGCTGTGCATCCAGAGCGTGGGGCTGGATGAGCAGAGGGCCCTGCAGCCAGCAGACTGCCAGCACCTCACCAAGCCTGATGCCACCGCGCCCTGCCACCCTGAGGTCCCCTGCCCCTCCCCGTGGGCTGTGGGCAACTGGTCTGAGGTGAGAGGGCACACTGGGGATGTCCCAGCGCCTTGCAAAGGGGTGGGAGCTGGGGACAGGGGTCCCTGGACACCCCAACCTGTCCCAGAGCAGTGGGTGTGCTCCTGCTGCAGAAATCCATGGGCTGTGTCCCCATGGGCTCAGCAGCTCCCAGGGATGGGAATTCCATTGCTTGGAGAGGTCTCAGGCTGAGGAAGGGGCACTGGGCAGTTTAACTCTGCCCCAGCTCCCAGGGATGGGAATTCCACTGCATAGAGAGGTCTCAGGTGAGGAAGGGGCACTGGGCAGTTTGACTCTGCCCCAGCCCTGGGCTTTGCAGCCCCCTCACACAGAGTGAGGGCCACGCTCCATGCCTGGAATAAGGAGGGCAGAAATGAGGTTTTCAGCTGGACATGGCTTGGAACAGCCTGGTGTAGTGGAAGCTGTCCCTGCCCACGGCAGGGGGTGGAACTGGGTGATCTTCAAGGTCCCTTCCAACCCAAATGATTCCATGGGGTGATTAATGGTGACACTCTCTGCAGGCTAGATCTATTTTTGTGGTTTTGTGAATCAGCTTAACCACGGGCTGAGGGTTTCAACCAGAAAATGATAACTCCTAATTTAAACAGTCATGCCAAAAGTGTTCAGAGTGAAGACAAATATCAGGAGAGAAAGGAGAGAGCCTGGGAACAGAGCTTGTTGCTAAGGAACAAATGGAATCAAATGTGAGCAGAGGATTTGAAGGCAAGATGAGAGCGAGTTGGAAATATTTTTCTAGGGGCCCACAAAAGCCACAATTAAGGGCTGAGAAAGATGGAGACAATGATTTAAAGGGAAAATTATGGCTTGTTGGTGGGTCAGTGCTGGGCAGGGCAGCCCCAGCCCTCACTGCTGGTCTCTGTGGCATTGGCGCCAGTGGATGTGTGAGCCCTGGAGAAATGTGTTTGGGATTTTGAGGTTCTGCAATTTTTCTGTCCTTTAATTTAAAGGGAGAGCCCTCTTTCTTTTCCATTTCCAACCCCTCCATAATTAGAGGGATTGGAGGGGCTTGGAAGCTTCCCAGAGCCGTGGTCCTTCTGTCAGCAGCACTGGCAGGGTGGGGCAGCTCTGCAGGCAGGAGCAGTGTGCCCGTGTGGCACTGGAGCTCCTGGCCCTGCCAGAGGGGCTCTCGGGGCTTTGGGTGGCCCACAGCTGCTGCAGCACTGGGACTGGGTGCCTCAGGAGCCCCAAAGCCCTGCACACCCAGCTCTGAGGAGGTTCCAGAGAAGCTGGTTTGTTTTCTGGTGGTTGTTCTGCAGGGGAGCAGCTCCTCGCAGCCCTCTCGCAGGTGTTGGTGTGTGCCAGGGTTTGATTCCAGCTCCAGAAATGACTGGTGGTGGCCACGAGGTGTTACCAGAGAATCCTGCAATGCTCTGGGGTGGAAGGGACCTTAAAGCTCATCTGGTTCATGGGCAGGGACACCTTTCACAAGTCTGGCTCCAAGCCCCAAATGCAGCAGAAAATGCTGCTGTTCTCCTTTGCAGCTTCTCAGTTTCTTTTGTAGTGACCCAACTCAAAGAGCCCATTATGAGGGGATGGTGTGTCCCCAGCAAAGCTCCTTCCTGACCTTTGCTTTTTCCCTACTGGGACAACACCCATGTTGTTATTCCCTGCTTCAAAGAATGCTCTTCCAGAAGAAGAGATGCAATTCATGGCAATAGGTCACAGGAAAGGCCTATTAGCTCATCTCACCCCTGCCCTTCCCAGCCTCCATCTCCCGGGAAAACGGTTTCTGGCTGGAAAGCAGGTCAGGGATCACCCTGAGCAAAGTCCCCACAGCTCCAGCCCTGCTGTGACACGGGGGGCAGCCCCAGAGGGGTTTGGGCAGCAATGCTCTGCTTG